TATGTTCACAAGCACAGCTACCATCTGTCACCATACAACACCATCACAGTATGTGGACCACGTTCCCTATGCTGTGCCATTCATCTCCATGACTTCAGCATTCTCTAAGCGGAAGCCTGTACCTCCTACTCCCCTGCACCCATTTTGTCCGTCCCCTCCCACCCAGATAACCATCAATTTGTTTTGTGTATTTAGGGTCTGTCTCTTGCAGATTGTTTTGAAGATCAAATGAGAGAATGGGTGTGCCTGGCACAGGGTCAGCCCTCAGTGGATGGCTGCATGACTACTCCCAGTATTTCCAGTAAAGGTACTAATGTGGCCCTTCCCTCCCCACTGTAGCGTCAAGTCTTCTCCCTTGGCCCTCCAGCACCTATTCCTCCCCCACCTACAGCTTAGTTGCTGATCTTGGCTCCTGCCCTTTTGAGCGCACAGGAGTAATCCAATGAGAACTCCACCGGTCCTTCATCTTCCCACCACCAAATGCACTGGCTTTTACATATTCATATTTTTGCCTTTCTTCCTGCCACCATGGAAGAACTATCTTGCTTCTACCGATTGTTCAGAACCCCTCTGACCCCTAGCCCTTGTAAGGACTCAGCTGCTGAAATTATGCCCTCTCTCCTGATTTACTAATTTCTCCCTCACTACTGGGTCTTTCTCATGAACATACAAACAGAACTGACTATGTCTTGTTATAAAATATAAAGTCATCCCCTGCACCGCCCCCCACACAGCACAGATGTTTTCTGGACGCCAGGCCTCTCATACTCCAAGGAGCCTGGGCTCCAGAACACACAGCAACACACGGCAGGACACAGTGGGGCCAGAATTGAAAGTCTGAGCCCAGGACAGGGAAGATTCTGGATTCTTTGATGATGCATATTGTACTTGTATTGTTTACTTTAACTAGTGATCTCTTTTCTGCTTTATAAATATATACTCATGGTAGACAACCCCTAACTTATGGAAAAGTATTTAAAAAAATAAAGGCACATGAGAAAATAAAAATAATATGAAATCAGTCATAATCCTGTAAAAGAGAGACATTCTGGTGTGCTTCTTTCCAATTTCTCCCCCAGGTATATACATTTTAGAAATTATTTATTATATATATGTACATCTTACATACACATACATGATATATATACACTGTGTGCCATCCACTGTTTTAAATAATAGGAGTACACCAAGACAAACACACTTCCTGCCCACAGAGCGAAGAGAGGCAAGGAAATGTTCTAAATTATGCTGAGCCCCATCTTGCCAGGTGGATCCAGGCATGTAGGGCTCAGGGAAGATGTGGTGGGAGGAAAGGCAGAGGGGACAGAGTGGTGAATGGCCATAGCTGTTCTGACCAACAGCAAGGATTTTTTTTTTTTAATTGCCAATTTGACATGCAAATAAATGATCTCACTTTTGGGACTCCTGGGTGGCTCAGCGTTTGAACGCCTGCCTTCGGCTCAGAGTGTGATCCCGGGGTCCTGGGATCGAGTCCCACGTCGGGCTCCCTGCATGGAGCCTGCTTCTCCCTCTGCCTGTCGGAGCGCGGCGCGGCGGGAGCCCTGGGCATCGGTGTCGGCATTCGCACCTGATCCCAAATCCCAGAGTCTTTTCCCCCAAACCGTCTCCAGCGGGCACAGAGGGCCTCGTGGGTCTCCGCCTTCAAGACAGAAGCCGCCCTCCGGGGGCCCCCGGGATGCGGCTTCCGCTTCCGGACAAGGCCGAGCACTTCCGGGGCAGCGGCCGCGAGCAGCCGGCAGCGGAGGCGCGGGCCAGGCCGTGGGCCTGCGGGCGCGGGGAGGGCGGCCCCGCCCCATCCCGGACCTCCTGCCTCGGTAGTCACAGGCCTGGCCCGCAGCACGGCAGCCACGACCCGCCCCGTCTGCGCGGCCCCGAGGGCCTGGGTGGCTCAGCAGCTGAGCATCTGCCCTGGGCTCAGAGCATGACCCCGGGGTCCCGGGATCGAGTCCTGCATCGAGTCCCGCATCGGGCTCCCTGCATGGAGCCTGCTTCTCCCGCTGCCTGTGTCTCTGCCTCTCTCTCTTCTCTCTCTGTGTCTCTCATAAATAAATAAATAAAAATCTTTTTTTAAAAAATAAAAATTTCTTAAAAAAAAAAAAAAAAAAAAGAACCCAGGGCCAACAGAGTCAGCCCCTCGATGGCCCAGATAGAAGCCTGATCCGGGGCACATCGGATGCCCCAGCCCGCCGGCCCCAGGACCCCGCCCCCAGCGGCGTGTCCAGGGCTGCCCGGAAGCTCTGGGCTTGCCCCGCACAGCAGAAGTGATGGGGGCTCTGCACAGAGGGCTTCTCCAGGGCCTGCCGCCTCTGCCCTGCCGGCCTGCCCCATGCTGGTGCCCGTCCCCGGGGCCTCGGCAGGGCCACCCTGGCTGCGGGAGGGGGAGCAGGAAGGAGGGCAATCCTCTCAAGCCAACAGCAGTGTCTGGCAGAGGTCGGGAGGTCATGCCCAACATTCAGCGGCCGCGCCCCAGTCTGCTCTCTGGCCTTGAGGGTGCTGTCATGCTAATTTTACCCAGTTCCTCTTCAGCCCCACCCCCGGCCACAAAACCAGTGTGTGCCCACACTGCAGCCACGAGCTGTGCCCACCCCCTTCCGCCTGTGGTTCTGGAGCTTTCTCTGCTTAGCTTGGCCTGAGAGCTTAGGACAGGAGCTGCAGGTGGAGGTATGGGCAACGGCAAGTCTCCTTTGTCTCTTAATCTTACTGGTGTCAGACAGACCTGGGTTCAAATCCCTCTCTGCCTCTTAATACCTGTGTGTCTTCTTTATTTTATTTTACTTTATTTATTCATGAGAGACACACAGAGAGGCAGAGACATAGGGAGAGGGAGAAGCAATTCCCCGTGGGGAGCCGGATGCAGGACCCCATCCCAGGACTCCAGGATCACCACTCGGGCCCAAGGCAGACGCTCAACCACTGAGCCACCCAGGTGCCCCTAGCTGTGTGTCCCTAGTTAAGTTAATTTTATTAGGTCGTTACTGCTATATAACAAACCACACTGAAATCTTGTTGGCTTTCAGCCACAACCAACAGTGATTGCTCATGAGTTTATGGGTGGGTTAGACAATTAGTTCCTTCTATGTGGGCCAGGCTTGATGAGCCTTGGCTGAACTCCCAACTGTGACTGTGGCCAGCTATAGGCTGGGTGATGAAGGGTGGTCTCAGTTGGGGTGACTGGACCCTGCTCCACATGCCCACTTGTCCCCCTCTGGGCTAGCACGGGCTCGTTTTCATCACGTGATAGGAATTCCCAGAGAGTGAAAGAGCAGCAGCCCTAGCTGCTGACGATGAGCTGCAAAATCATGCTGGAAAGGCCATGGACATGAGGGTGATGGATTAGAGCCACGTACCGCATCACTTAACCTCTCTACAACTCTGCTCATTTATAGGATGGGAATAACATCACGTATCCTGTGATGCTTTAGTGTTCCCTGTCCTTTTAGAGGATGGTCACTCAGGAGCTGCCACAAGAGGGGGCACAGGAGAGGTGCAGGGAAACAAAGCTTATTAAACTCACAGGTCCTAGAGAGATCACTGTAGGCTGAGAGGGGGCTACATGGGAAGGGCACCAAGGGACCAGGCTCAGCTATGCAGGTAGGGAGCCAAGAGACAGCAAGGACCCATGGCTAAGGGCCTTTACCGGGGGCCAGGGTGCACAGGCAAAGGGCATGAGGGGATTTCATTGATGCCCTTTGGTGTTTGACTAGCACTGGGTCACAGTCACAGGAGCTAGGAAGGGGAACTGGTGGCAGAGGCCCACCTTACCGCACTGGGACACCTGGTTCCCTGGACTGGGTGCTTGCAGCGTGTTTGTGGGGATGTTGAGGCAGCAGGAAGATATGAACTTTTAAACTTTACAATACACCTAGTAAACCAGGGGCTTCATGAATTTGTTTTGAAAGCTAAGTTTATAAAGTATAAAAGACCGAGGATCAGATTCACCTTTGGAGAAAACCATATATTTGTATCCGGGAAACTGTTTGAGTGGGGTGTCCTTAGTCACAAAAATTAGAGTATGATACACCAGGACCTGCCCTCCAGCTGCAAGGAAACTTTGAAGCAATCCCAGTGCAGAAAAGCAGAGCACTCTTCTCAGCATTCCTTCCTTCCTTCCTTCCTTCATTTATTCAGAGAGTCCATCAGAAAACAGCAAGAATCTAGCATGCTGTGTAGGTAACACAGAGAGGAAACAAAAAGCATCAAGGGGGGGCTTTGTAGGGTCCATTGTCAGGGGCACTTCCTGGTAAGCCGGTGCTGAGTGTGGCCTACTGCCTGGGGGAACAAGCCATTGAAGGCTTTAGGCAGGGCCTAAAGCAGTGGTGGTTTCTTTGTCATTTCTAAAGATATCTCAGGCTGCCGCCTGGAGAATGAAGAGGTGGTTCGTGGAGTGCCCTGCAGGGAAGAGACTAATTAGAAGATGTTCAGAGAGGGAGAGAGAGAAAAGGAGAGAGAGCGAGAGCACAAGAGATTGTACTTAGAAAGTTTAGAGCCCTGGAAAAGCCTGAAAAGGGAGGTGGGAGCTGAGTTTCTCATAACATGAGCTGCTCTACCTTCTTGGTTTAGTTCAGTCGCTCATTCAATATATGCTTACTGAGCCCCCACATGGGTGAATAAAACAGACAACAGTCCATTTATGGAGCTCACACCTTACAAAAACTAATTTTCATGCTTAAAGGCACAATTCCCAATCATGCAACCCAGTGTCAACTACACACCTACCCCCTCATTTGCTGGCGAACAGCTCCCTTGCTGGAGCTCAAAGGGAAGGGAAGGTCCTGCCTCATTTTGACTACATGTGCTCTGCACTTTCCACAGGGCATTTTGATCCCCCTCTGCCCCCCCCCCCCCCCGCCCCGGCTCTAAGCTGAGACTTCACTGTCCCCTGTGAGAGCTCAGTGAAATATGTGGGTCAGGTAGGGCTCATTAGTACAAGATGGGAGGCACAAACTAGTGATTTCAGCCACAGCCAATGACGTTTCCAGGTCGGGCTTTGAGCTTTATTGGTGACCCTACCCCAGAGCGACCCCTCAGAGAGGGTTGGCCTCCTGCCAGGTGAGCTGAGCATCCATTTGTGCAGACGCTTCGGGTGCAGTGTGGTGGACGGGCTGCAGGGGGGTCAGCTACACTCCACACCAGCATCCTCATTGTGGTTACAGTTATGAGAGCCCCAGCTGTTCTTGTTGCAACTCCATAAGGACACCTCTGTCCCCTGACATGCGACATTATCCAGCCAGATCTGTCCAGTGCCTGGATATGGGGAAAGCGGGGAAAAAGAGGAGAGCAGGATTAGAGCCAAACTTCCATTTGGGATAGGCTGTCCGTTCCCCTCACACCCACTGGGGCCCAAGATGCTGATGGCAGGTTTACTCTCTTATAATGACTCTGCCTCCCTCCTGCTTTCTACCCTTTGACAAAAGTCTCATCCAAAGGTTAGATGAAATAGATTAAGTTATTTAATCTATTACTGATTACTAATATTTAATCTCTGCACTGTTTGATATTTCCCCCTGGGGATCTCCCAGTGTTTGTCTCTTCCTGTTTATTCCTTGCAACTGTACCCACTTTCCTCAAATGCCCTTTTAACCAGGCTGTTCTCTGGCTCAACAGCATTCACACATTCCTCCAAACCGCCTCCTTCTGGTATAAGTGATTTCAGATCAAGAGCACAGAGGAAAACAGCAGGATGACAGATAGTCCTGATTTAACGATGGTTTGATTTACGGGTTCCAACTTTATGGTGGTGTAAGAGGGATACACATCCAGTAGAAATCATACTTGGAATTTTGAATTGTGATCCTTTCCCAGGCTAGGGATATGCAGGACGATGCTCACTTGTGATGCTGGGCAGCAGAAGCTCCCAGTCAGCCAGACGATCAAGAGAGCAAACCACCGACACACTTACAACCATTCTGTACCCAGGCCACCAATCTGCTTGTCACTTTCACTACAGTAGTCAATCAATTACGTGGGCTAGTCGGCACTTTATAATAAGTAGGATTTGTGTTAGATGATTTTGCCTAACTGTGGACTAAATGTAGGTGTTCTGAGCACCCCTGAGGTAGACGAGGTTAAGCTATGACACTTGGTAGGTGAGGTGGATCAGATGCATTTTTGATACAATGTTTTCAAATTATGCTGGGTTTATTGAGATGTCACCCCATCTGTAAATTGAGGAAGATCTGTACTTGATTACAGGAATATACACTTTTACACACGATATACAGCATGGCAATCTACATAAGTGTAATCTATGTGAGGAAAACATACACTTTAAAGGAGTTTTACAATCCAACTGGAACTCAGATTAAAAAGCACGTAGGCCCTTCAGGGTGGTGCAATATGGGCAGAGAGCATCTGGGGATGAGGGCAGGAGAAGCTGGCCTAGTGCCCCTGCAAGGTCAACGCTTGTGTCCAAAGAAATGGTCTCAGTCTGGGGACTTAACTCTTTGGTTGAAATTTTGAATCTTTTGCTGAACGATACAGGCCGAGTCTCTAGCATCCCAGACGTCTTTCCAAGACTGATTTTAGGAAGTCCCTGCTCTGATTTGTTTTCTCTTTCCTTTGCCCCTTCTCCTTAAAGGTGATCACAGCATGGCCCATCCTGGCTTCTGGTTTCCAGATAGCTGAGATGAACACATGTGTTTGCCGACCCTGCCACTTCCCTGTTCTCCCAGGGCCAGCAGCTCAGCTGTCCTTCAGAGAGCCATTGGCTTGCAGACACCCCTGGCCATGGAGCAGTCGGCTTCTGGACAGCCCCAGGCAGTGACCCAAGCTGGGTCAGCGAGAGCCCCAGCCAAGCCCTGGCTGTCCAGGTCTCCTTTGTCCTGGGGTGGCCAACCTGGAAGGATGGCAGACAGGGCCACTGAGCAGCAGGACCTCTCAGCTGCTTCAACCAATCCTTTTCTTTTAACTCCGACTCACTGAGTCACTTGCAACCAAAGGGAAAGCCTTCAGGGAAGAGGCTCCTGGAGGAGGACCCACTCACCAGGTGGCATTGAGAAAAGGGCTGTCCCCCGGGAGTAGCCCAGCATGCGGCAGAAGACGGTGGCATCTAAATTGTCCCAGTCGTCATCGCAAATTGTCCCCCAGGCACCGTTGTAGTGAACTTCAGCCCGGCCCCGGGTCCTAGTGCCCACGATCCTCACGGCCACCAGGGATTCACCTAGATGAAAGACAGAAGGGGAAGAGGTGAGGAGAACAGCCTGGGGCTTTGTGTGGGTGACGGCTCTGCCTTTTCATTGTTGGCAATTCTGTCATGGGGCGGGGGGGGGGGGGGGGGGGGGGGAATCCCCAGGCTTGGCTGTCACCGGAGCCTAGAATGTTCCATATACGGCACCAATGCAACCCGGCGAGCGGCCTCTGTGCACCTGCCGCTGGACTCACACATCCAGCTGGCCGCATCCTGCCTTGACTTGTGGTGACAAGGAAAGGAAAAGTGGAGGGGGAAATGGAAGGAGGGAAAGAAGGGAGGGAGGGGATGGAGAGAGGGAAGAAGACAGAAAGAGAAGCAGGGGGAGGGAGGAGAGGGTGGGACATCTCTGGGCCGTGAGCAGGCTTAGTCCAAGGCCAAGCCTGGTAGCTCTTTCCCTAAATGAGGAATCTCTCTGAGGGCGTCTCTCCCCTACCTCACCTATGGTTTTCTTTTCTTTTTTTTTTTTTTTAATCACCTCTGTTTTTTTTTCCCTCGAAGACACAAATTAAAGAGAATAGAAATACTAATTACCTTTTTGACCTTTCTGGCCCTGTGTTCCCTGCTGTCCAGGAGATCCTGTCACAAAGGAAAAAAACAAAACCCATGCAATTTATTTTTTAAAAAAGATTTTATTTATTTATTTGAGAGTGAGCGAGCAAGCAGAAGCTGGGGGTGGGGAGGAGTGGGGAGGGCAAAGAGAGAGGGACTCAATCTGGGACTGGATCCCAGGACTCTGGGATCATGACCTCAGCCCAGCGGAAGTTAAGCAGACGCTTAACTGCCTGAGACACCCAGGCATCCCAACCCCACACAATTTAAAGGAAATCAAGCCAGGATCCTCTCACCCTTCTTTGCCAGCGATGGGGAGGAGGGTGGGGTTTGGGGAGGTCTGATTCTCTCCTCCAGCTGTGCCAGTGACCTGGCATCATGGGGACTGGATGTACCATGAGAACCAGTGGTTGAGCAAGATGAAACAGGCCTGAGGTACCGCAGGAAGGATTTAAGCCAGATCAGTGAGGAGCACTTAGCAGGTAAGAGACAGGGAGTGGGAAGCATCTCCTTTGTGGAAAGATCTGGTGGCCAGGGCATGGCTGGGCATTGCATCTACCCCTCTGAATGCCCAGGCTGTGCCTTGCTCACTTCTGTGTGCTCAGGGCTGAGGTCAATCTCAGCACGGAACTCATCAGGGAGACAATAAACCTCTACACCTCTGGTTCTGAAGACCCCCAAACCCCTTACAACAGGGCCTCTCCTTAGAACCCACAAATCACAGACTGAGGCCTTACCTTTCATTCCTGGTTCTCCTTTTTGACCTTTCAGGCCAGATGCACCCTTGGGGCCTTCCAGGCCTGGGCTTCCCATTTCTCCCTTCATGCCTGCAGGGCCTGGTAAGGAGAAAGACCACTTCAGTAAGATGCTCTGCTCTGCTTTCCAAGGGGGACCAAGGGCCTTGGTCTTTAATGACCGAACTTTCCCACCATCATGAAGGGGCTGTTCAGATGTTCAGCCTGTGTCTTTGGTCCACCTGGGAGGGGTGGTAAGGGCGGGTGGGTAGGAGGCGGGTATTGCTCTGATCTCTTTACTGACTCTCATGTGGATGGATGCTGGTTGAAAGCACACAGGTAAAAACAGCTGACAGGATTCCCCAGATATTGTTGGTCCTCCTCAGACCACCTAATTGGGTAGAAGTTCTAGCCATTCTGGGAGAACCTGCTAGAATGTTTCCGGACCTTGAGATCTCCTTTAGTATAAAGTTCAAGTAGGAACTGAATACCCAGCTCATGAGGGAGAAAACCGTTCAAGAAATGCGTCTGAGATGTTTCGCGTTGGCATTCATGAGGGCAGGGCTGTGGAGAAGACTAGAAGTGCTAGGTGGGAAGTGTGCTCAGTGACTGACCACAGGCAAGGGCTTGGAAAACTGAGGCGATCTTAAGAAGCCAGTGGCAAGCAGCAGGAGGAGGACAGAAGGAGCTTGAGAGCCCAAGGCAAGACAGAGATGGACCAACCAGCTATGGGGTAGCAGATAGAGGCCTTGCAGCCACCCTGGCACCTGGAGCAGAAGATTGCCCAGCTCCGTGGAGGCTGCATGGCCTGAGGCCACCAGCTGACCATTGGCTTTTGTGGTCACCCTTTCTCTACCCTCAGCTCGGCCTCTCTCTCTACTGCCTCCAGTCACTGAGTTTTGTTGGTCTTTGGGTTTTCCAGGGGAAGAATCTGAGTCCTGAGGGACAGAGTGGGCCCAGGCCACTTGAGGGTAAGGTGACAGGAGCACGTTCAAAGTCAGCAAGACCTGTGCTCCGAGCACGAGCCTTTCCAGACATCGTTTGGAAAAATTAAAATGAAGCCAGCCCTTACCTGGAACTCCTGATTCTCCTTTTGTTCCTTTTTGTCCTTGAAGTCCTAAGATGGAAATACAGGAAAGGGGGGGGGGAGGAAGATAATAAAACTTAGATATTAGACACTTTTAATCTTAGACAACCTCTACCTTTTGTCTGATTAATGCAGATGGAAAGATACATCGGTTCTCCACAATTGTTTAAAGCCTCCTTAGCAGAGCATAAAAGGAGACAGACCGCAGATAAATGGGGACACGTGTTTAGGGTGAAGTAGAAATGTAGTGGATAAAAGTCGGAGGCAGACAGACATACGGACTCCAGATTTATGGGCTGGCCTTCTTTGTCCTATTATAGCTTGACTCGGCGTATCAATCCAATCCCATTCCTCCCTGCTGCATGTTATTGGAAAAGAAGCAAGAGATGTTTTGAAAATAAAGTCATCTTTATTTTCAGAAGATTGTGGAGGGTACTCCCTGGCCATCAGGAGTGTTGGCGGCCCCTTGGCCACAGCCGATGTCCCATAGCATTTGCTGGCTCATTTCACTGTGGCCCCAGTATGGCTAAAGATTTGTGTGGCCAAAGGGTCTCGTGTCCAGAAAGTAGAAAAATAATCACCACAATCATCGGCGATGATCCTATTTGTGGTTCTAATATGAAAACTCTTTCCTTCCTCTCTCCTTCTCTCCCTCCTACTCTTTCTTCCATCCTTCTACCCACTCATCCCCTTATTCACTGACCTACACGGAAGGCCCCGTTCCCAGCACCGTGCTGGGTCACAGTGAGGTAATATACTTTGTTGGTTTGGCAACATCGTGGCTTCTTAATTTTAAGTGCCAAGACTGATTTTATTTCAGAGAAACAAGATTCTCCAAGACACACAAACTGGGGGAAAGGAAAGCTCGGTACTGACTGTGAAATACCAGTTAGGAGAGGGCAGCCAGGGGAGCCCTGTGCTCACTACCACACCCTTGACTGGTGTGCTTCCCATGGTGCCAGCCCACCCTGAGGGGGTCCACCTTGCCCCCTGCCAGGGGGAAGTTCCTACCCAAGCAAATTCCTGCCTCCCAGTTCAATTCCTGACTTTCCTAAGCACCTACTGTGTGCTGGTCAATGGAGGGCAGGCGAGGGGCCTGGGGAGCCTCTTCGGGACCCCTTTCTGAAATAATAAGCAAGGGAATCTCTGGCTGCCAGCAGCCCTTCTGATGACTCTCCTTCCAGGCCAGGAGCTGCCTGGAAGTAGGCCAGAAGCCCCAGGAGCTCAGGGTTACTACTGTAGACCTTGGCACCAGAAAACCAGGAAGCACTGGAACAATCTGAGAGGATACCTAGTTCAGCCCCTCATGTGAGGGAGGGGACAGCATGAGGCTCAGCAAACTTCTTCTAAAAGCTGGAGGTAACAGAGGTCAGACCCTAGCAGGCAGGCCCCAGCTTACACAGGCCATTTGCACACACTCCAGTCCCTCTTTTTAGAATGCCTCCCCGCTTCTGTCCCCTGGAGACCTCAGATCAAGTCTATAAAACCTGCTAAGTTGGCTGATGTCACGTGACTGCGAAGCCCTCTCTGGGCTCGCCTATGGATGGTGTACTTTCTCCCAAGACAGCAAAATGGCCAGAGTCAGGCAGCAAGGGCTGGCGTCTGCCTCTATGACCTGGAGCAAGGTGCTGCCCTCTGGGAGCCTCACTTTTCTGCTCTAGGTCTCCTGGCTGCCTCAGAAGTGGTCATGAGACTGAAATGAAGTCGTCTGTGCCACGTGCTAAGCCTTGTGTCTGGTTAAGTGCTCAGTAAACACTGTCACGGGGACCCCATGAACCCTGCATCTGTCTCCACCCTGCAGCGAGGGGGTTGGGGAGTCTGCCTCAGACCCTGGCCCACATGAGCTCTGGGCTTAATGCCCAACAAACCCCATCGTTGTTTGCTGTGACCTGAGGTGGCCCAGCAGAGGTAGCACCTGTTTCCTCCACTCATCAGCATCTGAATTGCACATGTCAAGATTAGAGAGGAGAAGCCACACTCAGAAATCTGTCTTTGGCTGTGAGTAAATAGTAAAAACAATCTATACCTTGACCCTTGGCCCTCTGTCTGCGTCCTAGAGAGTGCCATATTTCGGGAAACTCTACCTTAAGAGTCTATCCCTGGAAGCATGGCTCAGGGACCCCAGGCCCTTGTGACCTCCTTTTATTGTCCCCTCCCAAACAAGTGCCCATCTGCAGCTGTCCCCAAAGCACCAAATAACAAACATACTTTGTACAGAGAGAAATCATAGAGACTTACCTATTCACTAGGCCTGTGGTCCCCATGGACTGACACTCCCCCACCTCATTTCACAGCCTCCTTCCCAACTCTGCACCAACCTGGGACCCAGCACCTGCTGCTCCCTGCACTGTGCCAGGCACCCTGCCAGGGACTTTATATACACCCTCGTTCCACCTTTCACCTGCCTTGCAAGGTAGGGCCATTTTCCTTTATACAGAAGAGGAGGAAGTGCACAGTCACAGATGCTAGGTCATTTATTCAAGGTCACACAGGGAGGGAGCGATGAGGTTGGGTTGTCACTCCAGTTTGGCCTCCCACTGGATGCTATAATTCCCTGTGTCCCATTAGCATGGCTTCACACCTTCCTGGAGTTTCACTTGGGCTGTCCAAAGATACTCCCAGCCCACCCTAGGCCATCCATTTTCTCTAAATGAGTAGTCAAGCGAGGGGTGCGTCAGAATTATCTACACTGGGCTTGTGAAACAAATGGGTTTGTCAGGCTCCCCCTGAGTTGCTGATTCGGTGGATAAGGGATAGGGATCTGAGACTCTGCATTTGTAACAAGTTCCCAGGTGATGTTGATGCAGCTGGCCCCGGGGACGCATTTTGAGGGGTACCACCCTAAACAAACCTCACAGGCACTTTAAGGACCCACTCCCAGCCCACCTACTTCGAGCAGCCTTCCTGTCTTAGAGGCAAACAAATGCTGATTTCTCCTCTTAACCACAGCTAACTGGGTTTTCCTGGATATCACACACCTATCAAGCTGAGAGGACCCAAATAATTATTTGTGAGGTGTTTATTTAGAGAAATGACTTTCTTCTGAGGAAATCATTTAGTTAGAAAGCACACATCTCCGAGGTTCCTGGGTGGCTCAATGGTTGAGCGTCTGCCTTCGACTCAGTACATGATCCCTGGGTCCTGGGATCAAGTCCTGCATCCGGGTTCCCTAGAGGAAGCCTTCTCCCTCTGCCTATGTCTCTGCCTCTCTCTGTGAGTGTCTTTCATGAATAAATAAATAAAAATCTTTAAAAAGAAAGAAAGCACAGCTTTCCTTATTGGTTAGCGTTGAGCTGGTGTTTTGCCTAAAATCTTAGAACATTCTTGCTCTGAGGGGAAATTGCCAATTTCAAACCCAGAGTGCTGTCAGGCTAGCAAGGACCTGGATATTATTCTAGACTATTCCTCATATCCTACAAGGGAGGAAACTCCAGCCCAGGGCAAGTTGAAGAGCAAGTCTTCCAACTCTGATTTAATGTAGAAATTTCCAGTACATTAGGAAACTCTTTAAATACCATCTTGACATACGGGCTAAGTGCAGCCTCGCAAATTGATGATGAGTTTAATAGCTGCCAGATTAAGCTATGGGGCAAAAAGTAAGATGGTGGGCTAGAGACCAAAAATGGTATGCCTGTAGACTTTTGCAGGTATCTCTGAGAAATTTAGAGGAAAATGAGAACAGGTTTTATAAGTGACAACTTAGTAATGGAAATTGGTAGAATTTAATAAATTGTGGAAGTAACTCAGTACTTAGATACGGGGACTGGAACGAACTGAGAAGTTATATTCAAAATATAGGGCTTAATTCCTCTTATGAATTATGCTTTGTTGCTTACCTTCAAAGTAAAATGTCTTAAAATACAGGTGAGAAAATGGACTTCAGGTTATTTTCATTTTGGCTTTGCCTCAAGAGGAAAATAAAAGGACATAGAAAATTCCGATTCCTGTTATGTTTTAGATATGAAGGCTGTTGAAATGCAGAAATTCTGATCTGCTGTTTTGAAATGTAAGAGTTTGGCAGCTTCTAATGTCATTTCATGAGATGGGATGGTAGAAAGAGAAATGCCAAGATTACAAGAGGAAGTGAGACCTTCCTCATTTACAAACAAACTTTGAGATGGCTAAGGGATTCAGAGCTAAAATTAATTTTTTGTGGGTTTTTTTTTTGCAATCTTCCCCCCTCCCAAATCAAAGGATTTCATAATCCTTTGAAAAAACCAAAGGTTAGAAAAAATTAAATTTGGGGGGGAGAGGGTTGGTAAAATGCTGTTTTGTGAATGGTGAAGGAAATGACCATTGGAGAAAGCTCTACTGAGTGGTAATATCCTATGTAATAAACTGCGGTTTGTCTTCCCGACAGAATGAAAAAAATTTCCTTTTCACCATCTTTAATCTGAGATGGCTCCTTTCCCTCAAGGGGGTGTCAACACAGTGAAACATTGCACCAGAATGGATTGGGGTGCAGTAAGTGACCGTTCACAATAATAGGAGGGTGTGGTGGCTGAGCCAAGATTTACCCATCTGCTGTGGAATAAGAACTGGAGGCGATTCCAACTTCTCTAGAGTCCTATATTCTATGTTATTCATACAATCTGGAAAAGCACCACTTTGGAATCTGACTTTGGGGTTAACTCCTAGATTCAGAGTATATTAACTCCGGGAGTGTTTGCTCCCTCAGCTGTAAGATCGTGATGATCTTATTCAGGGGTGTGAGCAGATGAACTCAGATTATGGGAATAAATTCCAAGCACAGTGCCTGGCCAAGGGGCATTGTTACTCTAAACAGATTGATCTTTTTTTTTTTTTTTTTTAAATAATGAATGCTCAATAATGGGATCTGGCTGTTACCCAGGTCAAGTGAAGGCACTATAATTTCTCTGTTTTCATCCAGTGAGGCTGGATATTCTCTTGAGAGATTAATGACTTTATTTACAAAATGGGAAGTACATTGGATTGAAAAACTGATTTGATATAACCTAAATTGGACAAACATCATAGTACCTCTAGTTTGGGGAATACCAATGTCCTGACATTGAAAAGTATGTATTATCTTCCATGATGAGAAGATCTGACTCCCACCACCCATCCTTCCTTTTCTCACTTGAGAAATATAACCTTTCAAAAAAATAAATAAATAAATAAAAGGAGGGCGCCTGGGTGCCTCAGTGGTTGAGCATGTGCTTCGGCTCAGGGCATGATCCTGGGATCTGGAACCAGTCCCACATCGGGTTCCCTGCATGGAGCCTGCTTCTCCCTCTGCCTGTGTCTCTGCCTCTCTCTCTGTGTCTCTCATAAATAAATAAATAAATACATACATACATAAATAAATACATAAATAAATACATAATTAAAAAAACAACAAAGCCTGTTGAGTGAATAAATAAATAAAATCTTTTTTAGAAAATTAAATAAATAAATAAGAAATCTAACCTCTCCAAGGGTTCATTAACCTCTGACTTTGGGATGATATATAGACCTGCCTATGTGCAGCCAGATTATGGACCTATGGGAATTCCTTCTTGAGATGTCCATGTGAGTCATTAGCTACTAGATCAAGACAAGCCTGTGGGTTTGTGTGGAAAACCTATGCAATTTTACATAAGTCGTAATCATCACATGCTCCAAATTGAAAATGTGATCACCATATTTACTTGGGTAGACAGTAAGGAATAACCCTTAGAATTTGCCTGGTTGGTATTCACTGCTAGGCCTGATTGATGGAGATCCCCCAAAAACCTCAACACATATACAGGAACTTGATAATGGATTTAAAATGATCCCTAGGCTGTGGGCCAAAGGTCTCTGTGCTATAAGGGAGGTGGGTTTTGGGATAAATAACAAAGAGCCATAGCAGGGCCTGAGAAGATCATGTTTCTGTCTCAGGATGAAGGATTAGAGCTGTAGCCTCAGCTCTAATCCTTCCTGGACTGGGATGGAGAGAAAAGGTGTCGCTCATCAGAGTGCCTGATGGGGGTAGGGTGCACTTTCAGGCTGCCTGGGAAGGAAGAGAGCATGACAGAGGGTAATGGATAAGGCCCCCGGCTTTGGGTCAACCAGGCTTGGATTCCAACTCTGGCTGTACCACCTCCTGGTTCCTCAAGTCTGGGCAAGTCACTGTGAAATAGCACCAACAATAGTGCTTATCTCACTGGGTTGTCATGGAAATGCTCATTATCAGGAGCAGCGGGCTCTTGCTATGCAAACCCTCCAAGGATGTGGAGTGGAGGGCAAAATCCCCTACCCTCACACAGTGGGAGACACAGGCTGAGGGCCCGGGGAGTGGACACAGTGTCCCTTGTGGGTAAAATCGTGTTTTATCCCTAATGTCCTTTACTTAGTTAAGCACCATTAGTCTGGGAGTGGGGGGAGGCTGGGGAAGGGTGGGGAGAGAGACTCACTGTCTATAACTGAGGGACGAAAGCCATCATCACTATGAAGCCAAGGGGAAAACATGGGGATAGGGCAGCTTCAGGCCCTAAGTCAGACCCCCAGATTTTATCTGGGACCAAGGAAGGCAAAAACATTTAAGATCAGGAAGTGGCCAACAGGTCAGGGCCATGTGATCACCACACTCAGAATGTGAAACCTTCCCGGCTGCCTTCAGGTGGAGTCTACATGGCATCAGGTAGTAGATTCCTGGCTCACGCTGACACACAGTCCATGAGAAAGAAATCAGTTCTGAAGCTGGATGGACTGGAAGGACAGAGGGTACTAGAGCTGCCTGTGCCTTGGCGCCCGATAATCTTGGGGAAAACCACAATGGTTGAGCCCAGAGTCCAGGGTCATCCAGGAGGTGGCCCCACCCACCCCTCTGACCAGAGTTCTGACCCTCTCTCACATCCCAACCCCAGACACCAGGAACAGCAGGCTGCAGAGCCCTCCCACATTCCTCTGTTGACTTCGCCTGCTCAGTTCCCTCTCTCTCTAGATTTCCCTTCCCCTCCTCCACATGGCCAGGCTCCACTCATTCTATAAGACTCAAGTATCACTCCGGAGCTGCTCTGCCTTTTCCCAGCCCTACCAGATAGGGGACACTGTGAAACTGAAGCATTTAGCTGAATTAAGTCACATTTGTTTAAGGAATCAATCTGTCCATCAGTCAACAGCTTGATCAATGAGCACTGAGTGGACCTGCCCCTGGTGTGGGTCTGCACACAGCCCTGCGTGGGCCATCAGGTTGTCTAACACACACGACCTTCTGCTCTGGCAGGAGGGGCTGCAGCAGACGGTCCACAGCCATCCTAGGCAGCTGCACAGCCCTTGAGCTTGACCTTGCACTGCTAAGACACCTCCAGGCTGCACTTAACTTTCTAAAGGGAATTTTGCACTTCTCCACGCAAAAGCCCACAACAGAGTGTGCCAGACACAGTCTGGCAAGTCCGCCTGCCTGTCTTCTGCGCCGACCTGTATGCATGAGGGCAGGCAGTGGGTCTAATGCATCATGGTGTCCCAACACCCACACAGTGGCTCAGACTTTCTAGACCACTGTAGGTGCTCAGACTTACTTGGTGACTAGACAAAATAGGCATAGAGGTTTATAAAGTCGACCACATTGGTCTGATGGTTTACAACCTAAACTAAGTTGGCACGATGGTTTGTAATGTAGATTAAGTTGGCATGAAGGTTTATACAGTAGTCACTGTGAGTTTGGTTACTGTGGGTCACTCCTCTCAGCCTGAGCCACCTTTGGGACAATATGCAAGAAGGGGTTTCTTGACCTCCCTGCCCAAATCTCCAGAGCCCTGACCCTTGGGGCCCCATTGCAAGTCAGCTGGAGAGAACGGAAACTGTGAACACAGCTGGAAGGCAGGCCAGGAGACAATATGGGGCAGCTGCCCTTCTCTTTTCTTTAATGGTAGAAGTTTGGTCATGGCATTGGGGCCTTTCAGGGACCTTGGCAAGGAGAGGATAGCCCTAGGGCTTTGAGCTCAAAGGGCCCTGGCAGAAGAAAGCATTCTCCTTAACCAGGGTACCTCAGGGGCCAGAGCACAAGTGACGCTCTGCCTCCTTCTGGTGGGCCCACTGGGAGGCAGCCCTCCTCCCTGTCCTTCCCTGACACCCAGCACCCCACCCAGCACCTACCCACACCCTCTGTTACCTGGCTCCCCCTTGCTTCCATTCATGCCGTTGGTTCCAGGACTCCCGGGTCTCCCTGGTGGTCCTGTACAACAGAAGCCCGGAGCACATGAGGGCTGGGCTCCGTGGATCTTCAGACATCCCTCCCCACGCCCACCAAAGGCCCGAGGACCTCACCTGCTAGGCCAGGGGAGCCAGCGGTGCCAGGCTCACCCTTGGCACCTGGGGATCCTGCTGTGCCGGGGGACCCGGGAAGACCCTTCTCTCCAGGTTGTCCTGCAAGTGACAACTGCAAGGTTGGTGTGGTCGCCAGAGAGCCTGGTTGCCCACCCCTCAACACGTCCCTCTTCTCAGCAGTGGCACAGGTACCTCCCACCACCTGATATGTTCCCCGGGGCAGCTTTAACCAACTCCCTTAGAAGGCATGAACTAGTCCAATCAGCAGGAGAAAAGTTACAGCCTGAGCAGTTTGTTCATCTCTGCCACTACTCCGCAGTGTCAGGACCCACCAGGCACCCCAGGTTGTGAATGTCCGCTCCACAACCCTGGGTGGCAAAGTGTGGTTAGCTCTGAGACAGAACACCAATCAAGCCTGTTCCTCAGGGCACCTGGGTGGCTCAGTGGTTGAGCTATCTGACTTTGGCTCAGGTTGTGATCCTGGGGTCCTGGGATCGAGTCCCACATCGGGCTCCCCACAGGGAGCCTGCTTCTCCCTCTGCCTGTGTCTCTGCCTCCCTCTCTGGGTCTCTCATTAATAAACAAACAAACAAACAAACAAACAAATAATCTTAAAAAAAACCAACAACAAACCCTGTTCCTCTCAGGCAGGGCCAGGTTTTAAGAGGCCCCAAGGACTTTGGGTTAATGGTACAATGAAATAAAAGACAGTGGAGTCATGTCCTGGGTTTGATTGTGCCCAGCAGCAGCAGCAGCCCAAATGATCCCTGGATTCCGAGTTCTCACCTTGATCTCCTTTTGTTCCAGGAAAACCAGCCACACCTACAAGGAAGAAGGACTTTCAGGGATCTTGTTCCCCTGCAGCTCAGTCTGCCAGGGGACAAGAAAATGCCCAACAGGTCAATGGGCAGCCTCTTACCTGGGGGGCCTGGCTTCCCTGAGTCACCTTTACTCCCCTGGGCTCCGGAGGGTCCCATGACCCCTGTGTCTCCTTTCATGCCCCTGTCTCCCTTGCTTCCTGAAAAATCAAGGAGTCATGGTCAGGACAGGAAAAGGGCAAACTCCCCTCCCAGATCCTACTGACCCTTGTCGTCCCGCCCAAATTCCAAACTCAAACTCCTTGAGCTCCTTCTACCTGGGGCCCAGAAGTGGAAGATACAATAGCTGCCCTCAAGGAGCATACCACCTTGCCCCAGAGACAAGATGTGAACTCTTGGAGAAATGGCCAAGGTCCCCTGGCCTGGCTGATGAGCAGTGGCAGGTGGGAGAAGCCAGACTTTCAGCTCCTTCCTCAGCATGCTGCCCTGGGGAGGGACCACAGCCCAGGCTTAGCCAACGCTACCCCCATCATTTTCATGTGTGCATTTGGGGGATTATTTTTCAAGCCCCCACCCTGAACCGGAATCCGAATATTCCAGAAAGTCAATTCCAAATGCTGAGAGTAGAGACTCAAAGGCAGGGGTGGAAGAAGAACATTACAGCAGCTCGGATTCCTGCCAGTGCTTCAGTCACGGCCTCTCCTGGTGCTAGAGGTTTCAAATTTTCCACTTGTTATCAGCATTCGAGGCTCATCCCAGCCTGTCCTCTCTTCGGTCCTCCATTGCTCCCTCTTCCTTTCTGCCACTGCTCCCCGCATATCAATCCAGGGAGGCTCCTCACAGAGCAGCATCTGGCCACCCCTTCCCAATCCACAGGTTTGACTTCGGAGCCAGCTGCAAGCCCCTGCTGGGTCTGCTCATCAGCAACCCACTGGCTTGGCTGGTGTTCTGGGAGCTAAAGTCAAAGTCCCACCCCGAGCAGCTCCCTCTACCCTGGGACAGGCTTAGTGGGATGCAATTTGGTTAAAAGGCTCCATTCCATTATTTTCATGATAACAGAGCTGGGAGGACTCAGAGGGATACCAGCCTTCTCTCCAGTGAATCAGGAAAGGAGACAAAATGGTCTGAAGCAGGGATCCCGGGGTGGCTCAGCGATTTAGCGCCCGCCTTCAGCCCATGCTGTGATCCTGGAGACCCAGGATCGAGTCCCACATCGGGCTCTTTGCGTGGAGCCTACTTCTCCCTCTGCCTGTGTCTCTGTCTCTCTCTCTCTGTGTGTGTGTGTCTTTCATGAATGAATAAATAAAATCTTATAAAAAAAAAGATCTGAAGCAGAGGGAAGAATCACCAGTCATGCAAAGCTTTCTGGGTCTAAGCTTAGGGTGATGTTAGGGGCAAGGTTTGGGACATAGGTTCTTTCAGGTGGTTTAGATACTGGAAGGATGATTATTTCCTTGATAGGAAACAAAACAACCACAGAGAACTTGGTCACAGATGAGATCTCTGAGAGCCAGCCTCAGCGGCAAGCACCAATGAAATCAAATCTTGGTCATTCAGGGTGTCCACTTTCGCCGAAGGGACAAATAGCATTTGTTAGAAGGGACCAGGAATGACTTTCCTAGAGGAATCTGTTGGTGCCAGATGGCTCTAGGCTGGCCAGAACCATCATATTATGGGAATTGCTTGGCTGCATGAAGATTCTGGAGCGTGGTCTGGGCCGGAGTCTGTGGGCTCTCAGGGCCACCTTGAGAAAGTCTGGGCTTCCTTTTCCTGCTGCAGAGGAACTGCAGACTGGCGCCGTTGGAGGCCCCCTGGGAGGTCAACTGTCTCACCATCTGCCTGGTGCAAACGTGCCCCTCGATTCTGCCAAGGGGAATCCCGCAGCCCCATCCCCTGCTGGCAGGTGCCCCTGACACCTGCGCATGCGAGCCCTTTTCCTCGAAGGGCCACCCTAAGTCCCGATGCCCCTCTTCCTCTCTTATCTCCACACAGCTGGCTCTCTTGAAACTCTAGGTCATTGCTCCTTGTTCCATTGCTGGGCATCCCCAACGAGTCTGTTTTCTCTTCCACAAGTGCTTTTCTAATGTTGGAGCATGGCTGACACTTCCCCCTAAGGGCCCTCTTCTCGAAGCACCCTAGTCTCTTATAACATAAATATTCCTATTCGCAGGTACCTCACCATCCATCTCATGTCTTATATTCCTGTTTTAACTAATCCTTATTAGAGGTTACTCTTATTATGCCCCTTTTCTATGTGAGTAAATTGAGGGTCAGGGAGGTTGAATCATTTGCCCCAGGTCACACAGCTAGTGAGATATCAGGATCCAGACTGATAGGATCTGGATGGGGCATGAAGGCGCTCAGTCATGACCAGAGCCCCTGGGGCTGTCCTTCTCAGAGCGTGCCCCCTGGACTGCCGGTGTTCAGAAGCATCCAGGCCTTTGAAACACAGACTCTTGGACTTTGGACAAGTGCCCCAAATGGTTCTAAGGTAGCATCTGCTTCAGGAATCAACCTTTACCTTCCCTGCCTGTCAGGCTCCCCTCGTCCCCAGTGCCCATGTCAGGTCCCACTGCTGTTCCTTGCCTTCTTCTCCTCTGAGCTCCTGGCATGGCCTTGTCATCACAGGTCATGCCTGGCATGAGATTGTGGCTCCCCCACCCCCACCCTGCACATGCACACACACTAACACACACACACACACACACACACACACACTGCTCAGCTTTCACGTTCCTGGCCTCTGCTGGTCTGGATAGAAGGGACCTCATGTGTGCTCTCGGGAGGCTGGTAGGCAGAGCACAGCCTTGCCCTCAGTGGGACAAAACAGACACTCTTCCAAAGGGTTGGGGCCCAGCCTTCAGGCCCCCCCACAAGCACCGATACCCCCCCCCCCAGGGCACTTACCTGGGAGGCCCAGGTCTCCTTTGTCTCCCTTAGCTCCAGGTTCCCCTTTCGGGCCAACGAGACCCCCATCACCTTTGCTGCCCTTCTCTCCCCGCTGTCCTGGTGTGCCTGGGCAGAGAATGGCCAACGAGGTAGGTTCCCACTGTCCTCCTGGGATGGACTCCTGGACAACAGGGCAGGGGGCATCCAGGAGAAAGGGGCCCCCAGAGGAAGCCAGGGGGATGTTAGGTCATCTCTCGGGTGTCTTGATGAGGCACAGTAAGATTCCAGAGCAGAGCACTGTGGGACAGCACCGACCCTCTGGGTCTGCATGTGGGGCCACGTGGAGGGGGTACTGAGCGACTGGCTCAGCACCTCAGCCGAGGCATAGCTGAACCCAAGCAGAGGAAGAACGCATTACCAGAGGCTCCTTGTTTCCCGGGAGCACCGTTGGGTCCTTGGAGGCCTGAGAAGGAAAGAAGAACCAGTCACAGTGCTCCTGGTTCCTGGGTCAGCTGATATTCTAGAGCCCTGTAGGAGGACAAGGCACCTGGCACCTGGACAAGAGAGAGGGGCCTCTCTCTTTCTCGTCTCAGCCCCCCCTCCACACGCACTGACCAGGACATTTCACTCTTCATAACAACAAAAAAGAGAGAAAATAAAATGCTGAGTTTCTTAGGCTTAGAGCTGAGGCCCCTGCCTCCTGACCCTGTGCCCAGTGTGCATGTGTCCAGCCCCTACTCACCTGCCTCTCCCTTGATTCCAGGTGGGCCTTGGAGTCCTGGAGGGCCTGGAAAGGAAGAGAGATTCAGAACAAAGCCTGAACAAGAAGGAGAAAAAGGATTGCGGGGCCAGTAGACAAGTGCCAGTATCTGTGCCTCCGTGGCATGCCTCGGCCCCCTGGCCCCCTTCTCAGATGGTGGCCTTGGCAGACAGGGGATGCCAGGCATGCCCTGGGCCTCTTTTTTTAAAAATTTTTAAAAAGATTTTATTTATTCACTTGAGAGAGGGAGAACGAGCTGGGAGAGAGGCAGAGAGAGAGGCAGAAGGAGAAGCAGACTCCCAGATGAGCAAGGAACAGGATGTGGAGCTCAATCCCAGGACCCAGAGATCATGACTTGAGCTGAAGGCAGACACTAACCATCTGCTTCTTTTTAAAATTTTTATTTATTTATTTATTTGAGAGAGAGAGTGATAGCACACATGAGAGAGCACAAGCAGGATGGAGGGTGGAGGGAGAGAGAGAAGCAGGCTCCCCACTGAGCAGGGGGCTCAAGGACCTAGGCCTGGATCCCCAGAGATCCCAGGACACTGAGATCATGACCTGAGCCGTAGGCACACACTTCACTGACTGAGCCACCCAGGGAGCCCCGACCTGGGTCCCTTTTGACCTGAAAGACCTGAAGAAGACGAGCTACCTATCACGCTTACCACACCATTATTTATTCAACAAACTGTCACTGAGCCCCAGAATGAGCCAAACTGTGTGGAAGGTCAGAAGGAAAGAAAAAGCAGAGCCCCTTCCTACAGGAAGCTCATGGCCTAACAGGTGAGCCACAGATGCATAGGTGATGTGTTCTGAGGGAGGCTGTGTCGGGCAGACCTGGGTTCAAGGAGCAGCCTTACCCCTTCAGCAGGGTGACCTGGGCAAATTACTTCGTTTTGAGCCTCAGCTTCCTCGTCAGTAAAATGGGGCCATTTTACCTAGTGGCTGACTCTGGATACATGGCACCTGGTTTTGCTGTCACTTACATATAGCTCTCTCCCTTCCCGAGGGCTGCTGTGCAGACTGAGACTCAAAACAACCCTGGAGGGCAGGACAGGGCTCCTCTGCCTTAGTCCATTGGGGCTGCTATAACAAACCACCACACAGCAGGTGGCTTAGAAACAACAGATTCATTTCTCACAGCTCTGGAGGCTGGAGTTCAAGATCCGGGTGCTAGTGTGGTCAAGTTCTTCTGGGTTGCAGACCTCTGACTCCTTGCTGTGTCCTCACACGGAGAAGGGGTGGGGTGAGGGAGCTCACTGGAGTCCCTTTTCTAAGGGCACTAATCCCTTGCAAGAGGGCCCTAGTCTGGTGGCCGAATCACATCCTAATATAGTCATCTTGGGGGTTAGATTTGCAGCATAGGAACTGGGGGAAGACCATAGAGTGTTCCCCCACATGGCCATGGAGGAGAGTGACTTTCCGAGGGGTATGGCTTTGCCTGAGGTCACTCATTTGGAGAGTCCAGGTCTCCCAGTGACAAAGCCTGTACCCATGTCAGGACACTATGATGACAAAGCCTGTGACGAGCTTTCTATTTCAGAGTAGAACCCCAGTCCAACCTGTGGAATTCATGATGTCATATGAATCCTGTGTCCACAGGACTGGGGTCCAGAGGGATGGAAGCAGGATGGGTAACTAGAGTCCCTCTCAGACAAGCCTCAGGAAAAGGCATTGCTGAGAATCAGTTCAGGGTTTGACAGCTAGGCCCCACTCACCAGCTGTGCGGCCTGTATGAGAGACTTCCCTTGGCCCAGCCCATTTCCTGTGTAGCATGGGAACAGCAACACCTGCCTCACAGGGACCTCGGACCACATGGGGTCATGGGACACAGTAGAAACCCAGGGAAAGTACGCTCTCGCTGCCTGTATTAGCCAGAGGGAAGAGGCAAGAACCCCAGAGACCCCCAGGTGGAGGGGTCAAGGTCAGAGACTCCTGCCCCTGGCCCTTCAGGAGTAGTGCCTCACTGTTGACAGAAGCAGTCCAGTCCCTCAGAGGGGTTTTCAGGGTGAGCCCCTAAGATCGCATGGCTCCCTCCCACCGAGGCTGCACAGGCTGTGCCAGCTCTGCTGTGGTAGCCTGGCCCCGGGCCAAGGAGGGGACTCAGGCTGCCTCCAGAGTCTGACTCTGCTCCTCCAGCCTTGCCTGAGTTAGCTTGAGCAAGTCAGCATCCCTCTGAGGCTGTTTCCTCATCTGTGAAATGGGGATAATAGCAGCCACTTGGGTGTAGGGTAAGGAGTCAACAAGGCATGGATAAAAGTGCCTTGCATGGAGCTTGGGGCAGCGCTTTCATGTCCCCCGATCCAGGGCTGCCTCATCTCTGCGGCTCCCAGCCTGTCTCCCACCTCCGCTCCTCTCATGCTTGTACTCCAGCATGTGAGTTTTCCTTCTTTGCCTTCCTGGATTCACCAAAGCCCCTTCCTACCTCAGGGCCTTTGCATGTGTGGGTCTCTGCCTGGGATCCATATTCTCTGGCACCTTCCACTCACACTCATGTCAAGGCTGAAAGGTCTCTCCAGGAGCCTTCCCTGGCACACGAGGGGGTTAGGTCTCCCCCACACTCTCCTTACCAAGGGAGCTGCCGCCATCTCTCAGAGCAGAAGCCAGGGCTGTCACCAAATCATGCTTCCCTGAGGGCAAGGGTTCTGTTTGCCTTCTTAAGTCTGCATTCCCAGTGTTTGAGGGGGGTGGGAGACGGGGGCGGATTCTTGATCCTTGAGTGGCTTTCAGTAAATATTTGTTGAGAAGCCCAGAACCCACAGGGGAGGAATAGAGAGGTATGGCTGGATTCCACATTACCCTCTCCCAAAACCTGACTTAGGCACAAAGTTCCCCCCCCCCCAATGTTCTGGAAGCCTAGGCCAGTGTGCAGTTTCACAGGAGGTTGCCTGGGGCCAAACCACTCACCTTGGGGACCCACCTACTGGTCTCCAGGGGCCTGTGCAGGAAAATGTGCCTCTGGGGAGCCCTGACCAGGGAAGGCAGGCCATGGTCCAGAGGGAGAGAGATTGAGGCCTCCCCGGGCAGGCCAGGGTGATGGGGGAAACTGGGAAGGTGTTGGGGGGTTGCTGAGCCCCTGCTGCTAGAATCAGTTTCCTGCCTCTGGTTTCTAGGCTCTAAGAATGAGAGAGAGAAAGAGAGACAGAGAGACAGAGGGACAGAGAGAGAAGGACAAAGGCAGTCAGAGACAGAGAGAGATGGAGAGAGACACAGAGATGGAGCTAGAGATTATATATATACCCTCCACACACAGGTCTTCCTCGACTTACCACGGGGTTACATACTGTTAATTAAACACACAGAAATCAAAGATATTTTAAGTCGAAAATGTATTTAATACATCTTACCTACCACACATCATAGCTCAGGCTCACCTACCTTAAATATGCTCGGAACGCTGGCATTAGCCCACAGGTGCGCAAACTCATGTAACACAAATCCTGTTTTGTGATACGGTGGTGACTGTCATGTAACTTACTGACCCCCGTACTGAAGGTGAGAGCAGAGTGGCTGTCGGGGGACAGAGTGCTTGTCAGTGTATCACAGTTCCCTGGTCTTGCGATTGCCTGGCTTGACCCCGAGCTACCCTGCCCAGCATCACAAGAGCATCGTGCCAGCAAGTCTCTAGCCTGGGAAAAGATCCAAATTCAAAACCTCAAGTACAGCATCTGCTAAACGGGTATCACTTCCACAGCATTGTAAGGTCGAAAAACCACAAATGGAGCTGCTGTAAGTCGGGGACCATGTACCTTCACACACACACACACACACACACACACACACACAGAAAAACAGAGACAGAGAGAGGGGGACCTCATGGAGGTTGCTCCCCACCCAGGGCTGAGCTGGGCTCTGTGTCTGGTCCTGGAGCACTAGGCCCTGGGGCAGGCACTGGAGCAGACTTTAAATGTCAGCTACAGGATGCCTGGGTGGCTCAGCAGTTTGGCGCCTGCCTTCAGCCCAGGGTGTGATCCTGGGGTACCGGGACTGAGTCCCACATCAGGCTCCCTGCATATAGCCTGCTTCCCCCTCTGCCTGTGTCTCTGCCTCTCTCTCTGTGTCTCTCATGAATAAATAAATAAAATCTTTAAAAAAAATAAAAAAATAAACGTCAGCTAGGTGGGTGATGGGTATTAAAGAGGGCACTTGTGGGATGCCTGGGTGGCTCAGTGATTGAGTGTCTGCCTTCAGCTCAGGTCATGATCCTGGGGTCCTGGGATTGAGTCCCACATCGAGCTCCCTGCACGGAGCCTGCTTCTCCCTCTGCCTGTGTCTCTGCCCCTCTCTCTGAGTCTCTCATGAGTAAATAAATAAACAGATTTAAAAGAAAAGAAAAAGAACTCAGGTCATAGAGGCTGCCCCTCCCATTACATGCTCTAGGAGACATAAACAATGCACCCCTGGACATGATCACAGCCAGATGGGGTGACCAGCTAGGTATTGGGTAAGAGGCATCTGGAAACAGTGCTTATGGCAGACAGTCCTACACTTGGGATGCCAGGGGGAGAGAGCACCTGAGGGGGATGCCCTTGGGCTGGCCTTGGAAGGTAGTTTAGATTTGGCTGCTGGGGATGAGTGTGTGTGTGTGTGGCAGGGGAGGATGGGGAAGCTATTTCCCACTTCAGGCGAGGAGCAGGGTAAAGGCCCAGAAGGCAGGACTTCCAACATGGTCAGGGAACAGAGAGCAGACCCAACTGAGGACCAGTGAGTTTGTGGGGAGTTGTGGGGGACCACGGAAGGTAACCTGGGGTCGAGGCCCAGAAAGGCACAAGCCCAGGAGCCCATGGAGGAAGGCTGTAAGCAGTGGGCGGCACGGGTCAGAGTGGAAATGAACGTACCTGTACTGCCTTTTTCCCCCTTGATCCGGAACAGCTCTGCAAGGGGAGAAGAGAGGGTTGTAGGCTGGTGTGAGCACATGCATCTAGAGCACCCGGCTCTGAGTCCGAAGGCTGTGTCCTCCAGGCTGAAGAGCAAGAGCCTCAGGCAGTTGGGGGATTAATAGGAGACAAATGCCTAGATGTTTTCCAGGAATGAGTTTTTGGAAAAAGCCAGATGTTTAGTTGCATCTCTGGTCTACACCGGAGGCTGCAGATCCCTGGGAGCCAAACCCATTAAGGAAGAGCCTCGGGTTAAGGGCAAGGCCCCTCGTGCGGATCACAGCCAGCTCCTTCACATCTCAAGGAAGGGAGGGATGGTCTCTGTGTCTGAGCCTGGACCCTGCCCCTCTGCCACAGCCATCACCTCTTTCACCCACATGGTGGCTCAGCCTTCATCTGTGGTCACTGGGAAGACCGCAGCCTCTGGGGGATTTGCCCACCTGGACCTTGTTCTCATTCAGCACTTGATCCCATGGGCACAGAACCACGGTCATGGAATCACCCCTTAACTCCTAGCTCACCCCAGCCATTGGGGCTGGAGCTCCATGTGACAGTGTGAACTCTGCAACAATGAGGTCACACCTCAGAGCTGCTTTGGCACCAGTCAGCCCTTCCTGTTCCGGCACAGACCGAGAGAGTAGTGGGGGTAGTGGTAGGACAATCTCACGTGACCCAGCTTCAAGGCTCTGAGAAAACCCAGGGAAGGAAGGGCCCTGGCATCTCCACCTTTGGCTCTGTTTTCTCCTGGCTGTGGCCGCATCTTCCAAGTTACCGTGCTTCCCCAGCAGGAGCCCCCTCCCCCCAGGGTCTCCCCGTGGCCTGCCATTTCTGTCTCCCCAGCCATGGGCCAGCATTAGTCAGCAGCATGGGAGTGGTCCTAGGACTCGACCTATCCTCCCAAACATTCTAGATCCATCTCATGCCTACTCCATATGGTTCTCACCCCTTTCCTTGCACCCCAGCGTTCTGGAATGTTCTCCTTGCTAGGGAAGGGGATTCAGGCCCAAGGATCCCCTTGCCCATGAACCAGCAGCTCCTACTTCCTATCCCCTGAGAAATCCTGGTGCTGAGGGGAGGGGGCCAAACCTGGACTCCGAGTGAAGTTATCCACCTTCCGTAGCAGGTGCTCCTGCTTGGTGCGGACCTGGATGATCTGGGCCTGCAGGACTTGCAGCCCCAAGGTGCCCCCAGTGAGATGCGGGATGGGCACTGATTGGAGCAAAGAGAAAGACGGGCTGTCCTCGGCGGCCAGCGTTCCATTGGTGAAGTGAATCTCTATGGCCCAGAGCCGCTCCTGCAGATTCAGAACTGGACACCCCACCCCCACCCAAAGCATTCTTTTAGGAACCTCATTAGAGCCCCAGGCATTTGAGCATATCCCCAACACTCTTGTGTCACATGTGCATAACTTCTGTGGGTCCTGACTACTGGACGCAACATTTCATGTGCTGTGAGGACCTAGCATGAGCATAGAGCTCTTTCTATATCTTGCACGTGTAAACTCTGCACTTAGGCATGACGTTATATGTTCATAGACTATTCCTTCATGGCCTAGGGATGCACCCACAGCATCATGATCAATCTTCAACCTTCCTGCATGCTCTGGGAATGAGAGTATGATGACGAATATGCTGGTCTGATCTAATCACATGTGACCTTAATAGACATGTGACATATGTTTATGACAGCTGGGCACCACACGATGTTCTTGAGTGACTTCAGTGTCTGCAGATGGAATTGCTTCATGATCTTAACACTTCGGAAGTAAAATCATGTTAACATGAACACTGATCAATAAAGCCCCTTCCCACTCAGACATTGGGGATCCTTGATGAAAGATGCATACGGCAAACTCATGTGAAATTATTGCATTGTTCACTGCTCTAACACACACAAGATCATGTGCTTTCTCCCTCTGTCTCTCTGTTTGTCTCTATCTCTCTCTCTCTCTCTCATGCACATGAGTGCTCATGCGTGCACGCACACACACACATGCACACACTCCCCTGTCCACCTCCCCGCACCGACCCCATCAATGTGGCTACCTGGCTATCCAGAAGTTAAGAACTCTCTATCAGCAGGCAGGGGCAGCAGTGACTCCAAGGCTCTCCACTCAACCTGAGCCCTGTGTCACCCCAGGAGGCACCAGACAGGTGCCTGACTTGTTTACCTTTTACCACCAGCAATCCAGCACCTGCAGTGAGCAGAATCAGGTAGATGGCCACTAGGACCATGAAGCAGTTCACCCCCTTTCTCTTCTTGGGCTTTGGATCTGAAACATAACCACAGCAGAAGGTGGCTTCTGTAGAAGGGAGAGACCAAGGGTGCCTCAACCTGTGTCAGAATCCCCTCTGCATGAGCAGACGGCTCCCTGTGAGGTGGAGGGTAAAGACACAAAGTCCCACTATCCCCGAATCCTCCCTCAGATTCTCCTCTTCTCACAAGCCAAGAAATGCCATTCTTGGTCACTCATCTGTGTGGCTGGGCAAACACCTGTGTCATGCATCGCTAGCTGGTAGAGTGTGGTTCTTAAACAAGGTGCACTGTCGAAGCCCTGGTGTAGTGCCCGTGATAGAGAGCTCTCGAGAGATGTTTATCAGGTGAATTAATGAATGTACATACTTAAATTTCAAAACTTTGGGAGGAGGATGATTGTCAGCACTTGATAAACTCTGAGTGATATTTAGAGACGTTGAAATACCTAATCAGTTATGAGACACAGATCTGGAATTCAGATTTGGACATTTGTTTTCTTTTTTCTTTAGATTATTTACTTATAAAAATAAAACATGCTTGATATGATTTATCAAAAATATAGAGAACATTACAAGGGTTAATAATCTTATAATCAGAGACTTCAAGGGACCTCAGTTCCCTGGTGTCTTAACCTGCTGACAGAAGCTCTGATGGCATTCTGGGGTGTGGCCCTCTTACTAGACTGTTTGCTTCTAGAAACTGATGAACCCTTCCACTACTAGATATATTTTTTCTTTTGATTTTATGTAAATAATATCTTATTACATATAATACAGCACACTGCTTTCTGCAGTGGATGATTTCCCATGGACATTCCTATAGTTTTTTATTTGTTTGTTTTGTCTTTTTATTTTGTAGAGAAAGATTTAACTATTCTTTTAATAGCTGCCTAATGTCCCTTAAAGGCAAGAGTCACAATTCATGCTGACATTTCCCTGTTGGCAAGCTGTTTCCAGTTTGGGGCATTATAAAAGAGGCCACCGTGGTTCCCATTCCAGTCTTTCCTTCATGCCAGCTGTGTCCCCATTTTGGGGTGTCCAAAGGCAGGGAGCCAGCCTGCAGAAGGTCTTGTGGTTCCCACCACTCACACTGACAGAGTACCTACTCGGTGCCAGGCATTGTCTGATACTGTCTATAATGCTTCTGATAATCCTGCAAGGTAAGTGTGATCATCCTCTTAGACAGACTTGGGGTTCAGAGAAGTTAAGGCAATACAACAGGCATATGTCCCTGGGTCCATCTAACCCCAAGGCCTGAACTTGCCTCACTAGTCTATGCTGACATTAGCAGGTGGAAAAACACAGTTGAAATAAGCAGGTGTGAAAGGAAAAGCGATCATAGGTGGGCATCCCATGGGAGGGAATAGGGGCATGTGAACATATTTTTGGCTTTGTGATAGTTGATGGTGGGTTTTCGGTTGACTCTTGTAATAGATGTGTGTGAACCTTGAGTCTGTTTTCTATCACCTGTGAAAACTTCATTATTCTGCTGAAATTCCTTCCCGCCACCTGCAGAACAGAAAGCTCTGCTTTAGCATTGCCTAATGCATGGTGGTCTCAAGATGACTTTGGCAGGCAGCAGGAGGAATGGTTTCTTGGTTGGATGGTTTTTTATTTGGTGGCATTTGGTTATTCTCAGTCTAGCACAGTATCCCCTGCACTGCACCTCCCAAATTGGGACTCACACAGAAGCCCGAGTGAACTCTCTAACAGCCTGGCCAAGTCACTTCCCTGCCTTCAGCCCTTGGTGGCCATTCACTGTCCTTGAGACAAACAACTCGTCTGCTGGCACAGGAAGACGTGCTGCTTGCCAGTTCTCCTTTGGCTGTACTTCCACACCACACCCCCAACGTGAACCCCAACCAACAGACCAGACCACTTGTTGTTATAGCCTTCTCACTCTGGGGCATGTATCTTCTCTGAAACACAGCCCTACCTCCTACCTTCTGCATGACTAATTCCTCCTCATCCTTTGGCAGCACAATGGTGCTTATCCTGCCCCAAGATACATTCTCTGACCTCCCTGGGTTAGGTGGGACCCTGCTTTGCTTCCCCACGTCGCTCTGTGTTTCCACCTGATATGGCACCCATCATCCTGAAGTATGTCTGTTTATGTCTCAGTTCCCCCCAATATCTTGGAAGCTTCCAGGGCTGTCTTCCAGCACTAGCATGGTGTCTACCTCACAATGTGCTGGAAAGATGATAAATGGAAAGGTGAATGAGTGGCTGCAGAGGTTTGGGTCCTGAACATGTGCAGAGTGGAACAATGCCAGTTTAGAAGTGTTGGAAAAGCATCAGGAATGCAACCTCAGAACTCAGGCAAGCATACAGTCATGGTGAGGATGGGTAACACACAAGGGAAGCCTCATGTTAAACAGAAGATGGTGGACAATGAATATGATCTTTTAGACAGTACTAAACTTGTAGAAATGATGGAAAAAGAAAGATAATATGCTTCAGAGGCACAAGTTACATAGAGGTCAAAGATGGCAATGAAAGCCAGCATGGAAAATATAGATATTTTCAAACCAGATAGTAGGAGAAGTGGAAGGCATTTGAATGAGGATAGTAAGAGGAAAAGCCATCCTGGTAGTATGAATGGGAATAGTTTGAAGGTATCCACTCAGGCCCAGGATGCTTTTTTAAGCCAGAGCTATCATGTAACATAGAGACAAGGTATTTTAGAAACTGGGAATTTTGAATCTGTAGCATTTATCTAACTCACTTACAAAGCAGAAAATCTGATAAACACTTTACCTTCTGTGTTGATGTCTAAGAGGATAGAAGACCCTGCAAAGGAATGTTTACTCCAAAGTGGATTTCTCCAATGAGGAAGAGTAGTCTGAGATGAGAGAATGAATGAAGCATCCAATAAACTAGAGCTGAGTAAACTAGAATGAGCATCCCTGGAGTAAACTATGGTGAGTCCACGTGAAGATTTTAGGAAAACAGTTTTCAGAAATATGACAGCTCTATTGTCTGACCCGCAGTGAAAATGTGGCTCCAGAGGGAAATAAAATTTCAATTCCATAAAAGATTTCAATGAAGAAAACCAGTCTGCATACAAACTCTAGGGCCCCCAGACCTGCAATCTCCCGGCCCCTTGCCTAGTGGCAGCAGGTAGCTTGGTGGGTGCAGAAATCCCCTCTTCTTGCTCCTGGCACTGGGCTGCTGGTGAACAGGCCTAGAAAAGTGGTCTCTGCCCTATTGGCTTGATGTGTCCCACCCCTGACCCACGATCACTGGGCAGTCTGAAGAAACACCTTCTGTCCCTGCTGGCAGAACCAGCAGAGAGCAAGGAAGACCAATTATATCAGCTGAACAAAGCAGACCAGAACAGGACAGTCAAGGCTCTGAAAAATAAATTGTTATTGAAAACACAGCCCACAAAAGTAGGCCAGAATTTTATGGGATAAACCTAAACAGTATGATTTAAAGTAGAAGATTTTAATAGAATCTAGAGTCTTCTAACATACTATACAAAATGTCCACAGTACAATGAAAAATTAGTCATCATATCAAGAGCATAGAAAATCACAACTTGCATGAAAAAAGACAACAGGGCACCTGGGTAGCTCAGTCAGTTCAGTGACCAGCTCTTGACTTTGGCTCAGGTCATGATCTCAGAGTCCTGGGATCAAACCCTGCATCACAGTCCACACTCAGAGAGGAGTCTGCTTGAGAATTCTCCTTCTCCTTCTCCCTCTGCCACTCCCCCTGCTCTCTCTCTCTCTCAGAAATAAATCTTTAAAAAAAATCAATAGGAGTCAGCATGGAAATGACACAAACATTGGAATTATTCAATAAGGATTTAGAAACAGGCATAACAAAAGTACTTTAATGATCAGTTAGAAATACTCTTAAAACAAAACAATTTTAATCTACAAAAAAAGTAGAGAATATAAAGAAGAACCAAATGGAAATTATAGGACTTAAAAGCACCAATTAAAAAAATCTCACCGGGGTATCTGGGTGGCTCAGTCACTTAAGTATCTGCCTTAGGCTCAGGTCATGATCTGAGCATCCTGGGATCAAGCCCCAGGTCAGACTTCCTGCTCAGAGGGGAGTCTGCTTCTCCCTCCCCTGCCTCTTGTGCTCTCACTCACTCATTCTCTCTCTGTCTCCCTCTCAAATAAATTAAATCTTTAAAAACATCCTCACTAGATGGGCTCAATAGTGCAATAAAAGTGATAAGAGAAAAAATAAATGAACTAGAGGTTAGAACAATAGAAATTACCCTTTCTGAAAAACAGAGAAAATCAACTAAAAAAATGAACAAAGACTCAGAGATCTATGTATCAATAACAAAATACATAATATTCATATTGTTAAAGTCCTAGAAAGAGTGTGAACTGAAAAGTATATTTTAAGAAAAAATGGTGGCTGAAAACTTCTCAAATTTGGTGAAAGTCACAAACCTACAAACTCAAGAAGTTGAGCAAACCCCAAACATCATAAATTCAAGCAATTGATAACAAGACACATCATGAGTAAAAAAAAAATCTAAAAAAGACCCTACATACCCAGAAAATTAGAAATCTAAAAAAAAAAAGAAAAAATCTTGAAAATAGCCATTACCTATAGACATACCAATTTGAGTGACAACAGATTTCTTTTTTTTTTTTGACAACAGATTTCTTATCTGAAATTGGAAATGACATGAAATTTTTCATGTGCTCAAAGAAATGAATTATCAACTATATCCAGTAAAAATATCCCTTAAGAATGAATGGGAAATAAAAGATTCTCAGATGAAGGAAATCTAAGCGAAGTTCTTGCTAGTAGACCTGTCTTGAAAGAATGGCTAAAAAGGGAGCACTTGACTGACTCAGTCAATGGACATGTGACTTTTGATCTCAGGGTCATGATTTTGAGCCAAGATGGGATGTAGAGATTCTTTAAAAATAAAATTTCAAAAAAAAAAAAAAAAAGGAATGGCTGAAGGAAGTTCTTCAAACAGAAGAGAAAAGATAATAGCAGAAGTCATGGCACTTCCAAAAGGAAAGAATAATAAGAA